GAAAGTGGCAACAAACTTTTCACTATTCTACATTTACACACCATAAAAATGCATGCAGCTGATGCAACTGATGAAAATAAAAAAGAAGAAACAATTTGATTTATTAAAGATTATTAACCATATAATCTAATATTAAAAATGTATTTATTTATTTTTAAAGTAGAAAATAGGCAAATACAGCAGAGGAAACAGAAGTTTGGGCAAACCACTCAGGTCTCTCCGTGTGGATCCATGTCTGCCTGGATCGCCCGCCTTTCTGTCCTCTCCTGAAGGAAAGTGTGGCAGTGACCGGAGCCGTGTGGGGCCGCGGTCCGATGACCAGTCGTCAGTCCACGGTGAAAAGGTAGCAGCTTAGCCATACTGGGTGAAACTGGTGTATGTGCGTGTGTGTGTGTGTGTGTGTGTGTGTGTGTGTGAAGAGACCTGCAGCAGCAGGAGGACATGAGGGTGATAAATGACACGGATTAGTGACTGTGGTTGAGTTAACACATGAACATGATCGCGCTCTCTCTCTGTGTGTGTGTCAGCAGTAAACACTTCTGAGCACACCACACTGTATTCAAACATTTGTCTAGCTTTGTTGCCTCCGCTCGCTATTGTCAAGCCCAGTTGTCTGTCACTATAGATGCAAAAATACAGAATGTATATTTGTCTTTTAAATGTTCCATGGCAAAACAGATATTTAATAAGACGATAACTCAAAGTTATTGCAAGTTAAGATTTATAATATCTATGAGCATATAAAATACAATAAAGTGCTGTAATGGGTTAGGTTAGGGTTACAAACAAGGTATTTTCTGCTGCAAAACCACAACTTTAAGTTTAAATACTGAACAGGACATTTTGCTGATAATACTTTTGTTCTACATAATGTGGCTATAATCAATGTAATTATGGTAACTGGACTACTTGAAATGTGAAAAGTGTTGCTCATAGTAACAAACCCACAGAGAATTATCACGAACAAGAAAGAATGTAAGACTTACCTGTGGACACACGCGTGACCTCAAATGAATGCTAACATTGTGTAAAAGGGCTGTTAGCTAACAAGTTAGCCAACCCAAGTTAAAAGGTGATACGTCACTGTTTCTGTTTATACCTTGTAGGTCTTGTAGGTCTGTTTTTATGTTTTTGTCAAGGGCTTGTTGAGTATTTTTGCATGGTGTTATTGTAATTATTTTTTACACACAAGACTGTGTAACTTTTGATGAATGACAATTACGAGATAATGGTTAATGTTAAAACATAGTGTAACAGTACAGCACTTTTAGAGAGGAGTGATAAGTCAGCACACTGACTCAGTAGTGTCACTTCCACAAAAAGTTGTAGCTACCGAAAGTTTGCTAACATTAGCTAACATTAGCCACCACAGGCTACTGTTTATACCAGACCAAGGCTGTAGCAGCAAAACCTGTCCATATGGATAAAACAAACGCACTAGAGTGTTTGTATTTTCTTTTTGTCTTAAAAATTATGGATGTTTATGTACCACCTGCCCTACATTAAGGCTCTGAATGCACCCTTTTTTAACTGTAAGTCATGGCACTCGTTCTCCATTTCTCCTGATTGTGCACATTTGTGCGACAACAGACAGTCAGTCAGAACAAAACTTTAGCCACTGAAGAGTTGAAAGAAAGAGAACCCAGTCATCGAGCAATGCCTGAAGACACAACTTTATTAATAAACCAGCAAGCAAAGCATATCAAATAAAACGTGACGACACCCAGGAAACAGAGACAGGCATGTGTTAAAAAAAGAATGGAAAAAAATATAAAAGTGGAGATGGGCAGATGAAGCCTTGCCAATGGCTGTAAACAGAGCGACAGAGAGAAGAAAGAACAATAAAAAAGAAAAAGAACGGTCTGCCATAAAAGAGGCGGGTGTGACGAGTGTGTGCCGAGGTTGTCGTTTACTACGTCCACACAATGGAAACATTCACAAGTGTCTGGTAGAGCTGGGCTAAACTACCGTGGCGACAGGGGGCGAGGTGCTGGACTGGTTTGTAAGTGATGCCTCAGGTTAATAGTCTGACTCCAGTTGCTGGTTAAGTTACGGGTTAATACTCTGCTCTCTCTCCTCTCCTGCAGCCACAACCTGACAACTCTGAGAAAACTCAGAGAAAGAGAAAGAGAAGGGACACCGTTCTTCCATCAGTGATAATATGTAGCATTGTTTGCACAAGAAAAGTGTGTGTGGATTAACAAATGGGCAAAGCGACCTACAGAAAGCAAAGTATGCATGCAAGAAAATTAGATGCGTAATCAATTTGTGTTCTTCCTGTCACTTTGCATGTGACAGGAAGAATTCAAAGTGTAGGGGAGACCGAGGTTAGTTGGCACACAACTTTCTTCTGGTCCTCTGAAGGTCACAGAAACAAACACGGAACATCAAAATGTTCACCTCAATAAAAGTCACTAGCTTTTTTGGTGAGGGTAATATTTCAGTTTTATAGTATTGAAAGTATGAAAGTGGCATGTGTCCTAAACGTATTATTGTTATATAGAGACATTGTTACTTCTAGTCAATACACTCAGGAGTCAGCTTCTACTATCTTGATATGAGATTTAAAAGTCTGTGATGAGTGAGTGTAGCTGGCTAACATCATTTCATCACAAAGTTGGGTCATTCATTCATTCAACATTCATCACACTGAATGTTGCTTGGTTTCAAAAAATACTGTTCTATTCTGTTCATATTGTCTGAGAGTGAAAAGTGTGCCAACTAACCCCGGTCTTCCCTAAATGGCGCCTCTTCATTCTAAAAGCTCACGGTTCACTCCGTCTGAGTGGTTTGTTTGCGATATGATTGACCGAAAATACAAAATGAACTGAGGTGGATCCTGCATTATAGTCTAATCTTGTAGTTTCAGACTTCATTTTAGTGTATGCTAAACCAGAAAACATGGGGTCAGGGAGGTCAATAGGGGCCCAACAACAGAATTCTGCCCAGGTGCTCCCTAACAGCTGTATCTAGCCATGGTGTTGACTTGACCTTTAGTACACAATTTCAAATTGTACTATCAAAACATAGCACTCAAATTCATCACTACACTTTAGCTGTCTTAATGGAGCTGTGTTGAAGCACAGGAATTAATATGATATGTCGTTTTTTTCATTGAATGACATAGTGTGGCTATTTTGTTTATTTTGCCTGGAGTTCTAGAAGAAATGTAAACAAAGGCTTTTACATGTCTACCTCTCCTGCACAGGCTTTTCTTTACTATTCATTTCTGTTTATGTGATGATAGGTGTCTCTTTATATATGTATGCTAATGTCTTTGTATGTATCTTTTAGGGCTGTTGTATTCTTTCACTTCAAAAAAAAATACAAAAGTCATGCCCACCCCTAACTTTAAATTCATCCACACGGACGTTAAACATTAAAGACGAGGGTCTAAAATTTGCCTTCACATCTTGGGGACACTATTTTATGATCTACTATGTTTGGCATCTGGTTATTTTAACCACCAGAGGGCATAAAAATGAAAAGAAAATCTCAACAGCTGAAAATGTAACCATCATGTTTGTTTACAAAATGCCTCTAGTGCCTTCTTTCTTGTTTTCACTGTGTTGTTTTTGATACAACCACTGTGTTGTTTTTGATACTACCACTGTGTTGTTTTCTGATACTACCACTATGTTGTTTTTGATACTACCACTGTGTTGTTTTCTGATACTACCACTATGTTGTTTCTGATACTACCACTGTGTTGTTTCTGATACTACCATTGTGTTGTTTCTGATACTACCATTGTGTTGTTTCTGATACTACCATTGTGTTGTTTTCTGATACTACCACTGTGTTGTTTTTGATACTACCACTGTGTTGTTTTCTGATACTACCACTGTGTTGTTTTCTGATACTACCACTGTGTTGTTTTCTGATACTACCACTGTGTTGTTTTTGATACTACCACTGAGGGGCGCTAAAGTTGCACATTTCTTTATCCTGCACATAGTGGTTTTGAAGATCATTGACGTTGAATCTAAGTCAGTCTGGAAACCCTGATGCATTTTTGTAGTATACGAACGGAGCTCTCTCTCTCTCTCAAACACACACTCATACACACATAACGCTCAAACAGAAGTGAAGATCAGTGATGGAGGCTGAAAACCCTGCAGCACTATGAGCAGAAAGACAATGATCATCTAACACAACAACATCCCAGCTGTGACGCTGCGCTATAGGCGTGATAGGCTTCCTCTCTTCTGGTTTGGCTTCACCTCTTCACACTTACTGTACCTTCCATGTATCTACCAGGCTCGCAGCCAATGCTGCATCAAGACAAGAGCTAATGCACTCAGTTGCAGGGTTGGACCGATATATGGGTTTGACATCGCTTAGAGGGCAGATACTGCTGTTGTCTGTAAAACCTGTAATTCTCTTTGGGCAGTTTGTTCAGTTATAATGTAATAGCTCAACGCTCGGTTTATAATGGTAGACTGGAGATTAGTCCTGTTCAGCCACTGTGACTCGGCTGTCTATATTCCTCATTTACAGGCAGTAATGTATTCCAGTTTTTACCAACCAGTGTGTGTGTGTGTGTACGTGTGGTCTGACTCTTAGAGCAACCAACCTCTATTTAATCTGTTTCATTAGCCTGGGCCTCTCTGCAGATGTTTAGTGTGTCATGATGATGTAAATGTTTCAGAGGGTTTACCCACCTGACAACCAGAAACATCAGAGAGAATCACTGAGGCTGCGTTTAGATATTTGTGGCTGATCAACACTGCGAATAACAGGTCAAGAGTGATGTGTCTTTGTTCTCAAGCAGGAAACTTCAAGGCTTTGTTGTTCTCCAGAGAGTGAACTTCAACAGAATTACATCCGGTTTATACTTCTGTGTTGAATCTATGGCGTAGGTACGGTGGACTGGGCCAGGAGCAGAGCTTCTCTTCGCTGCTCCTCTGGGGAGCAAACACCTACTCAATGCTGCTGGAGACCCAGACCATATTGCTGGGCCCGCTGGAGAGAAAGGAGGCACGGGAGAACAAGAACCAGGAATGAGCGGGGCAGACTGTCAGACCCTGCTGCTTTAAAATCAGTGGTTTTCTAAAGGGACTCTGGTGCTCGGAAAAACGTCAGCTTTTGTCCACAAGGACCGCCAAAATCCACACTAAATGAAACTTCCTTGTAGTATCTTTAAATAACTATGTTTTTTTATTCATGTGAATTCTTGAGCATATTTAATATAAAAATAACTAACTTTGTAAATGAACAAAAAACACAATTTCTTTAACTTGATCCAACCTTTCGACACTAACGTCCACAAAAGACTTACAGAGCACCTTTGCCATCTTGTGACTTCAAGTGTTTTTCAGTCACAAATATCTGCACGTAGCTTGAATCCCTGTTACAAACAACCGTAGGAGTTGTAGAAGTTATGGAATATAAACGTTGACCAATACTTCAGCTCGGTATTGGTATCGGCCTTTAAAAACCGATATCGGTCGAACCCTGGTTAGTATATACACATATACAGACGTAGCAGAGGGAACGTACTGTGGAGGTAGGGCTGAGGGAGGTTTGGTTGAACTACTGATTGAAACATTTCAACAAATTCCTAATGAATCTGAAAAAATTTTCATCACTCCACGAGGGCGGGACTTTTGATGACGCATTGACTTGAGACAGGTTGCATTCTGGAGAAAAAGTCTCGCTGTGTAATCCCGCTGTCAGACTGTAACCATTGAACTTCAGACTGATCGACTAGATGGAGACGTAGGAGCTTGTGGTATTTTTTGAACTGGAGTGGATCAGTGGGGGGGGGGGTGGGGAGGAGGAGGGTCGGGCGCTCCTCACAGGCAGAAGTCAAAGGTCAGGTCAGACTTGCCCATCTTCTGTCTGTACACGGCATCAAACTTCTCGTTCATGGACACCGTGAAGACGTCCTTCCACAGACCCGCGCGACCTGCAGAGTGGACACACAGGGAGAGGGACACATTTTAAATAACATGTAGCTGAGAGTGATCCAACAGCCAAGACGCACTGATTCATTTCTTCATCTTAGACATTCACAGGACAACTGCCCCAAGGCCCCAGAGTTAAATCACAGGGGTCCTAAAAGCTGTGGACGTCCTGTGAGTGCTTTATTGTGCTAATTCAATAGAGAGTTTGTACGTGAATATGACCCACTGAAGCACAATATCAGCTGACACGATGAAGGCCTTAAGGTGGGTCTTGCTTTGTTACTGGCTCCTTAAAAGAAAAGTTTTATTTTAATTAAAGCTGAAAGCAGCATTGATCGGGCCCTTGCATATTCACGCACGTCGAGGGTACTGGCAGGAGTCTGATTGATGCGGCCATGCATTTCTGTGACCATCATACACTGTGTGCACGAGTTAAACGGTATTTCCTTTATTTTATTTTTGTGTTTAATCAAATCACCACACAGCAAATCAGGGGCCAGTACTAGTTCACTATAGAAACATTGTGCTCAGGCCACACAGAGTGTGGTCGGATGGATGAAGCAGGCACGATCTCAAGTATCCTGCTCAGTTTTGAGAGCGATCCATACCTGATTTCGTTACACAACTTGGAAATAATCAAACAAACCAACACGAGAATAACTGTCCATGCCATTAAATACTAAAACCAGTGTTACCAGTAACACATAAGGACAGGACAACACTTATATCCAAAATAATAAGTCAAATTGGAACTTATTGGAACACTGTTTTTTCCAACAAAAAGTCATAACAGGAATGAAGAATTTGTCAAAGGACAAGAGAAAATAATTTGAGCTTTCCGACACATGTCACTGTCATCTACAAATTTGTTGTCATTCTAATCATTTTTTTTCTTGTATTCAGATTTTTTTATTTTTCATTTAACGGATCATGAGCGGTGAGATTCACTATACCACATGTATGTCATATTATTAAATTATTTTAAAAATGTATTATTTCTAGTGCTGGGCAACGATTAAAATATTTAATCGCGATTAATCGCATGGATTTTTTGCGATTAATCGCATTGTTGTATAATAATGAATTATTTTATTTTAAAAGTACTGCTATATGAACAAAAGGGCAATAACATTTGGTTCACGAGATGCAGGTAGCATGTTTTATACTTAATGTGAATATAATTCATACTTTGTTGGCATGTTATTCTGAAAACCGAATGTTCGTCTGAAGAAACCGGATGTTGTCTCACGTTAATCTTTCCGCTAACTTTCAAAGTCCTTCGTTCGCTCCCGATCTGTGCCGTTTAAATGCGTTTACCGTGAATTTCAGCATATAGGTGCACTAAAATTACTGACTATAGGATGTTTGCTGGCTTTTATCCCACCGTTCTTGTCATCCTCTTGTTGTTATGTATATGTATATGTATTGTCTCTTTCAATTTAAAAAAAAAAAAAAAAAACAATTATAATAAATTTAAAAAATCTGCCTGTGCCTTTTCAGTCATATTGTATACTAGATTGTATACAGGCTACATTTATTGTATCATGTGTGATGGCAGAATAACATACATATACTACTACTAATACTACAAATACTACAAAAAAACGGGTTTGTTCTTCATTTACAAGCCTAATGAATTCATCGAGTCCCGTCCTCCTTCCTGTTATGACGGCGTTACTTGTCCTCAGTCTCCTGCATGATGAAGGTAATGTGAAACCCAGGTAAACTCTCACGACTCAGCTGCAGTGAGTGCAGCCTGCCGTGGCTCTGACTCACCTGCTGTGGGCTACAGATGTGTGAGACAGATCAGACTGACTGCTGTCAGCTGTGTGTTAAGCCTATTAGCACACCAGACATCAGACTTCCATGCACTAAAAGAAAAAGAATCAGATGGGGAAACTGAAAAGAAAAACAACAGAAACCATAAGTAAAACATCCAAATCAAAATAGGAATGGTGACATAAACCAAAAGGGAATGAATAATCAGGGGATAAACATAAATGAGTCAAAGAGGGTTAAATCAAAGCAGACTGCTGGTTTAAATAACTTATTATAGAATCCATAGCTGAAACGCTGTCAGTGGTGTAGAGGCAACATGTAGCCACACGGTGGGGCTATATTCATGTCAAACCATCTAATCCATGAACACGCAATTGAAGATCCCATGACCTATTTAGATATTTATGGAGGCCTGAAGTGTTAAATATTAAATACATACAAAAAAGGAATTTATTAAAAAAATAATCATATAATTGTTTTTGGGATTTTATTGTATTGGATCGCCACCATTTCCATTTTATTCTCAATCTGTTTATATTTCACAATGACACTTTTAAGTGCAGTTTTATTTTCTAATTTCACCTTTCATGGCATTGGTGTTGTCACAGTCCGCTCACAGATCACAGATTCATACTTTCTGCATGCATCTGCGAGGATTCGCTTTAAGCGGCTTGACGTAAATAACGCCCTATGCGGACGTCAGCAATGGTCATGCTCCGGTTTCATTCAATACCACAGTCCTGTTTGTGGCGTTATGCGCCTCTAGCTGGTTTGCCGAGATTAAGAAGAAGAAGAAGAAGATTACATTTGTGTAGCCATGAAGGCTGTGGCTCCGTGGTAGAGCAAGGTCGTCCTTCAATTAGAGGATTGGTGGTTCGATCCCCGGCTCCGCTAGTCCATGACGATGTGTCCTTGGGCAAGGCACTTAACCCCAAATTGCTACCGTAGCCTACGGTGTATGAATGTTGTGTAAATGTTAGATAGATAGTCCTGATGGGCAGGTGGCACCTGGTGGCACTTTGCATGGTAGCCCCTCCCATCAGTGTATGAGTGTGAATGGGTGAATGATGAATACATGCAAATACATCCCCCACCTAAGGTGTTGTATAACCAGGTCAATAAGGGGTTGAAGTGTGTTAGAGCCTATATCGACTAGTGTTCCAGTGTAAGGACTCGATGTGTAAACAGTGTCTCCTATAGAATTGTTCCAAAAGCCACCTGCTCGGCTCAGTCTGGCGGGTTAAAGTCCTGACTTGACATTGTCTGACACTGATCCCAATGTGTGTGTGTTCCATCTGGGATATTCAAAAGGGAAAATAATATTGTAAAACTGTTTTCCAGACTCTTCAGTCCCTGCCCGTCTAATCCTGGTGTAATTATAATGTCATTACGCACGCTGCACAGTATATATCAGAGTTTCCATTCATCGTCCTGACCCACTTAAACCCTCCACACTTCACTACAGGTCGACAACCTCAGATAACTCCCCATACACCATCTCACGGCCGTGGGTTTAGTCAATGTTTAGAAGCAGTTAGTGATTTCCAGAGGAAGTCTCTTGAAAAAACAACTCAATTTAAGTAAATTTATATTCATTCTCCGTATATATTGGATCGTTTGCTTGCCTGTAAACAACATTAACATCTGTTCATGACCAAGAGACTCTTGGTTATGCTAGCTCTGTAAGGATTAGGAGTTGATTCATTTGAAGTTTACCAATTTAACATTGTCTCAGTTTAGATAGATAGATAGATAGATACTGCAGTTTATGCTTTCTCAAAATGCGCGACCCTCTATATGTACAACGTGGATTTATGACTTTACAGCGGAAAATCTCTGACCCATCTCAAATTTATGGAGGAACCATTTCTGGCAACAGCTGCTACAGCAATGAGGGAAGTAGGATAAGATTGTTTATCGTGACAATATGGCTGAAATTCATAATTTTGTGCAACACCAAAGTTGCACCAAACTTTGTCAGTTTTCATAGGGACTATTTCTTTGGTAGAAATGGGTCCAGTGAGCTCTCAGTGAAGAGCTGTGGATTGAACAGACAAACAGTCTTTTAAAAGAGAAGTTGCTTTTTTTGCTGTGATTACCATTGTTTTGGGGTGGACACAGGTGTTTCAGAGACAGTGTCCCAAAAAGAATACACATTCAACCAAAACTGCATGGATAGACACCACTAGACTAGAGGATTCCAAAAGAAAATATGTGTTATTTGTGATTTATTTTCTCTCTTCCTCCCTGCTACCTATTAAATATCTTCATGAGATCATCCTGCTCTAAGAGAGGAACTACACTGATGCTTTCACTCCTCTCAGCGTCATCTTTCTCTGACTGTATAGTTAAGCCTCATACATAGGACATATATTCTGTATGTAATACTGGTTTGTTCTATATGTGAGCAGCTCCTGTGAGAAAGAATCTCCTTCAAATAAGGAAAGACAAATCATCCAGTCCTCCAGGAATTGCATTCGTTGAATTTATTGTGTTCATGGAAATTTAAAGCAGACTATAACTTGTGTTTTTCTCGTAATGTTTATCGTTTGCTGCATTTGTGTCTTTTCTGTTCCGCAAAATTGATTCATTGCATGAGAGTACAGAGTAGTCGGCTTGATTTGAAATGTATAATTTGACATACATTTTCTCCACACACTCACAATGAGGGTCAGAATGGGAAAAGGATTAAGGCCGGGACACTAACGTCAGTACAGGCCAATCTCCACAGACCACGTGCAAATAACCATTTCTTTTCTGTTTACTGTTAATATCATTAACAAATCTTCAGTTTATACACACAATAACTGCTTCAGAAAACATTATAACCGCGTTATTTTGAAATGTTTGTATTATACTGTTTCTATGCGTACGCATCTGCCTTCCTACAGGGCTCGATTAGGAATTTGTCATCTATTACTTTCTTTTTAAACAAAGAATTAACTCAGTAAAAGTACTTGTGATATTATGACGCACTGCTAACCATGTGCCCTGATGGTGAATTTATCGGTAATGATGCACATTGTGCCGATGCGTACATGCAATGGGACCAATCACATGTGGTGACAGGCAGACAGACTCATTTTACACACAAACCTAAGCCTGAAAAGCAAAACTCGAATACAATCCTTGACGTAAATGTTCTATTGTATTGTATTCTGAGAAACACTGAAAATCTTAATACCAGAATGTCTTTTTGTCCTTAATTGTGTATATTGGGCAAAACAACCAATTATCAAGTGTGAATGAAGAATATTGATTTTACACATCAAAGTCTGTTTATAGGCCTTGGAAAGTACCACTATATGTGTAAAAAAATAAAATAAAATACAGTTCTACAAAGCCTTCAGTGGCCCCAGAAGTAGCTGTGAGAAGTCTGATAAAAGTGATGTCACTACCAGTTTGAAAATGAACCCTGCCTAAATATATTGATACCAATAGTGAAACGATACCACAGCAAAATCCTAAAACACCAGGAAAAGTAATGGAATAATAGACGGCTGAACATGGAACTTAATTATTTTATTTATTAAAAATGTATACATTAACAAATGTGATGGCTGCATTTATTTTTGACTGACTGACTTTCTCCTAGATCTAATTATGTAGTTCTGTTGCCTAAACCTAACTAAGTTGTTTCCTGTGAAGTTGGAAGGGTATTTTGAACCGCCTGTATACATATAAATGAGCGGAAATCACAAGTGTTGGTGAACTTTTGTAGAAAAACGGAGGAAAAGATAAGGAGAACGTTTTTCGTAGGATAGGAAGTACGTCTCTTATTAAAACATCCATCCATCCATCCATCCATCCATTTTCCTCCACTTATCCGGGGTCGGGTCACGATGGCAGCAGGCCAAGCAGGCTGACCCAGATTTTCCAGCTCATACTGGGGGATCCCGAGGCGTTCCCAGGCCAGCTAGGAGATATAATCCCTCCAGCGTGTTCTGGGTCTTCCTCGGGGTCTCTTCCCAGTTGGATGTGCCCGGAAAACCTCCAGTGGGAGGCGTGCAGGAGGCATCCTGATTAGATGCCCGAACCACCTCAGCTGACTCCTTTCGACGCGAAGGAGTAGCGGCTCAACTCCAAGTTCCCTCCTGATGTCCGAGCTCCTTATCCTATCTCTAAGGCTGAGCCCGGCCACCCTACGGAGGAAACTCATTTTGGCCGCTTGTAGCCACGACCTTGTCCTTTCTAGATGATTCTTTTACATGTTTCTCTATAATTCAGGCCGATTTATTTGGTGTTTTGCAAATAATAGTTTGGGATCTTGAAAATAATTCAGAAACTGATTACTAACCCAATGAACATTTCAGATTTAGTCAGAGTGCCTGTCCTTACAAGATGGTGTTGTGATGAAAAACACTGCACAACAAGATTAAGAGAGATCATGGGACACCAACTGTAAAATCATAAACTGAAGGAATTAAAGTATAAGAACATCAGATGCAGTGAAAGTGTAATAAAAAAGACACATTTGGTGGATCATCTCATCGTCTACAACAAAAGCTCTTTCAGACCTCTCAAGTCGGACCTCAGAGAGCCAGAAAGTTGGCCGAGATAGGAACTGAGCAGTGACGTGTTTCCTCTCCCACTCACCCCTGCAGATGGACAGTGCCTCCGAGTTGCTGCACTGCTCGATGAGTTGGTTGCAGCTCTCCACCATGCCCTCCAGCTGGGCCTTGTCGCAGGAAACACCCAGGAACCGGGCTAACTGTTCCACCAATGTTCCCGGATCCTGGAATGGACAGAGCCGAAGGGGAAGAGGATATTGAAAAAAAGAGAAATGAAAGCAATAACTGCACGCAAATACAGAGAAAACTGCCTCCCTCTTGAATTCTTGAATAACAACAAGACCATGATTCTGTTTCCCCAAACAGCATCCATCCACGGCTCTGGAGAACACACAGTTCCCTAAGATTACGCAATCTATATGTGGCACAAAGGCGAGACACACCGACTGTAAACATATGACAGCTGTGAGGACAAAATGTACAGCTCTGTGTAGGAACAGTGAAACATAAAGGCTCAGTTTACAGCCCTGGGTTATGAAACTGTGATGTAAACTCCAATCAATTCAATGTGGCTTTATTGGCATGAAAGTTTCAAGAAAATAATGTTACCAGAGAATCAAAATAAAAAAGTACACAATAATAGTGATAATGAATCGCCACCTTAGCTCCTCCGCGAATCGCCACCTTAACGTGGTGGAGGAGTTTGAGTGGCTCAGTGATCCTGGGAGCTACGGTATGTTGTCCGGGGCATTAGCACCTGGTAGGGTCTCCCAAGGAAAACAGGTTTCAGGGGAGAGCCCAGACTAAGAGCGGTTCAAAACGACCCTTATGACAGTTAGCCCACGGACTTTAGCCACCTCGCCCGGACCAGGGAAACCGGGGCACCCTCCCAGAGCCAGACCCAGGAGGGGAGCTCGTAGGCGAGCGTCTGGTGGCCGGGCCTTCGCCCATGGGGCCTGGTCGGGCTCAGCCCGAAGAAACACCATGGAGCAGCCACCCTGTCGACTCACCACCCGCAGGGACAAGCATCGTGGTCGGGTGCAATGCAGACCGGGCGGCAGTTCGGGCGGGAGGCCCGGGCATGCCGATCGCCGGCAGCATAGACTAGCTCTAGGGACGTGGAACGTCACCTCGCTAGCGGGGAAAGAGCCAGAGCTGGTGCAGGAGGTGGAGCGATACCAGCTAGATATAGTTGGACTCACCTCCACACACAGCGTTGGCTCTGGAACCAAGCTCCTGGAGAGGGGTTGGACTTTGTCCTTTTCCGGAGTTGCCCAGGGTGAGAGGCGCCGGGCGGGAGTGGGGATACTCACGAGCCCCCAGCTGAGCGCCGCTGTGTTGGAGTTCTCCCCGGAGAACGAGAGGGTCGCCTCCATGCGCCTACGGGTTGCGGGGAGCAAGGCTCTGACTGTGGTTTGTGCTTATGCACCAACCCGCAGTTCGGAGTATCCGGCCTTCTTGGAGTCGGTGGGAGGGGTCCTGGAAAGGGCGCCGCCTACCGACTCCATAGTTCTCCTGGGGGACTTCAACGCTCACGTGAGCAATGACGGAGAAACCTGGCGGGGGGTGATTGGGAGGAACGGCTTGCCCGATCTGAACCCGAATGGTGTTTTGTTATTGGACTTCTGTGCTTGCCACGGTTTGGCCATAACGAACACTATGTTCGAACATAAGGTGGCTCATAAGTGTACCTGGTACCAGAACACCTTAGGCCGGAGATCAATGATCGACTTTGTAATCGTATCATTTGATTTGCGGCCGTATGTCTTGGACACTCGGGTGAAGAGAGGAGCAGAGCTGTCAACTGATCACCACCTGGTGGTGAGTTGGATCAGATGGCAGGGGAACCGGTTAGAAAGACCCGGCAAGCCCAAACGTGTTGTGAGGGTGAACTGGGAACGTCTGGCGGAGGACCCTGTCCGGGAGGTCTTTAACTCCCACCTCCGGAAGAACTTCTCACACATCCCGAGGGAGCTTGGGGACGCGGAATCCGAATGGACCATGTTCAAAGCCTTTATTGTGAACGCGGCCGCTAGGAGCTGTGGCCGGAAGGTCATCGGTGCCTGTCGTGCGGCAACCCGAGAACCCGGTGGTGGACACCGGAGGTGAGGGAAGCCGTCAAGCTGAAGAAGGAGACCTTCAAGGCCTGGTTGGCCCAGGGGTCTCCTGAAGCAGCTGACAGGTACCGGCAGGCCAGAAGGGCTGCAGCTGCGGTGGTCGCGAATGCTGAAACTCGGGCATGGGAGGAGTTCGGGGAGGCCATGGAGAAGGACTTTCGGTTGGCCTCAAGGAGGTTCTGGCAAACCATCCGACGGCTCAGGAAGGGAAAGCAGGGCTTACCCCAGGCTGTTCTCAGCAGGGGGGGGAACTGCTAACCCGGACGGGGGACATCGTCGGGCGGTGGAAAGAGCACTTTGAGGAACTCCTAAACCCGACCAACATGTCCTCTGCAGAGGAGGCAGCGCCTGAGGACCTAGGGGGAGGCTCACTCATATCCCTGGCAGAGGTCGCTGAGGTAGTTAAAAAGCTCCTTGGTTGCAAGGCGCCTGGGGTGGATGAGATCCGCCCTGAGATGCTGAAAGCGCTGGACATAGTTGGGCTGTCCTGGCTGACACGCCTCTTCAATGTCGCATGGGGGTACGGGATCAGTGCCCATGGAATGGCAGACCGGGGTGGTGGTTCCCATCTTCAAAAGGGGGACCGGAGAGTGTGCTCGAATTACCGGGGTATCACACTACTCAGCCTCCCGGGGAAGGCTTATGCCAGGGTGCTGGAAAGGAGGCTCCGACCGCTTGTCGAACCTCGGATTCAAGAGGAGCAGTGCGGATTCTGTCCCGGCCGTGGAACAGTGGACCAGCTCTTTACCCTCGCAAGACTATTGGAGGGGTTCTGGGAGTTTGCCCAACCAGTCTACATGTGCTTTGTGGACTTGGAGAAGGCTTTCAACCGGGTCCCTCGGGGGTTCTTATGGGGATGCTGCGGGAGTATGGGGTGCCGGACCCATTACAACGGGCGATCCGGTCTCTGTACGACTGCAGTAGGAGCTGGGTCCACATTCTCGGCAATAAGTCAGACACGTTCCCGGTGGGTGTTGGCCTCCGCCAGGGCTGCCCTTTGTCACCGGTCCTGTTCGTGACTTTCATGGACAGGATATCTAGGCGCAGCCTCGGGGCGGAGAATGTCAGGTTCGGGTGTCTCGGGATCGCCTCTCTGCTGTTTGCAGATGATGTGGTCCTGTTAGCCTCGTCGGATCATGACCTCCAGCATTCACTGGGGCGGTTTGCAGCCGAGTGTGAAGCGGCGGGGATGAGAGTTAGCACCTCCAAATCTGAGGCCATGGTGCTCTGCCGGAAACCGGTGGATTGCTCCCTCCAGGTGGGGACGGAGTGCCTACCTCAAGCAAAGGAGTTCAAGTATCTCGGGGTCTTGTTCACGAGTGAGGGTAAGATGGAGCGGGAGATCGACAGACGGATCGGTGCAGCTGCAGCAGTAAAGCAGGCGCTGCACCGGACCGTCTTGGTGAAGAGGGAGCTGAGCCGGAAGGCAAAGCTCTTAATGACCGAAAGGACAAGGTCTACAAGTGGCCGAAATGAGCTTCCTCCGTAGGGTGGCCGGGCTCAGCCTTAGAGATAGGGTAAGGAGCTCGGTCATCAGGAGGGAGCTTGGAGTCGAGCCGGTACTCCTTCGCGTCAAAAGGAGTCAGCTGAGGTGGTTCGGGCATCTAATTAGGATGCCTCCTGGACGCCTCCCACTGGAGATTTTCCAGGCACGTCCAACTGGGAAGAGACCCCGGGGAAGACCCAGAACACGCTGGAGGGATTACATCTCCCAGCTGGCCTGGGAACGCCTCGGGATCCCCCAGAATGAGCTGGAACATGTTGCCGGTGAGAGGGAAGTCTGGGTCAGCCTGCTTGGCCTGTTGCCACCGCGACCCGACCCCGGATAAGCGGAGGAAAATGGATGGATGGATGGATGAATATTAACACAACACTAACATAACATTACAAATGTTAGCTTTCATTCAGGTCTGCAGCCATGCTAGAAGCTCTGCGATGCTGTTCTAGGCACAGTGGTGCTTTGAGCTAATTGCTGAATTCAGTATGCAAACATGCTCACAATGACGCATAGATATGAATAACACCTCATTTCTTGGCAAGACCCAATTGGTTAAGGTTAGGCATTGAGCTCGGGTAGTTAGGGCCAGGACAAACCATTGGTCAGGGCATAAGACCTAAACAAGTCTGGTTACCGGTACCTCGACAAAGTTAACATGCTGATGTTTAGCAGGTATATGTCAACATCTTGGTTTAGCGTATTAGGATGCGAACATTTACTAATTAGCAGTAAACAGAGTTTACACAGTTGAGACCGATGGGAACCATTGGCTGCATATTTCATGCGGTAATCTCCCCTTTTGCTATCTGCGCTTTATATTTTGCAAGGGCGCCGCATCCTGACTATTGTGATCGGTTAAAAGAAATACAAACAAGCCAGAGTGTGTTTTTTTTTCGACCATACCAGAATGATAATGTGAGGAGGCAGACATTTCTTTGGAGCGGACAAAGTGCTGTGGAGAAAGGTCTGGCTATGCAAGGCTATCTGACTGTAGCTTCCTATTTAGATATAATTTTAGCTAACTCTTGGCAAAAAAACAAATAAGTGCATTTCCCAAAGTGTCAAACTATTCCTTTAAAAGGTGCTCAATACGGAATTTAGAGCATATCTATTGTCTCTACACGGCTCTCAACATGGTGACGGCTGAGCCAGCGGCTTGCAGCTAACGGTTCAAACAATGGCAACAGTGTTAGAGCTAACAGTGTTTACCTGAGGGGGAACCGGAAGGTCGGGACAATATATAGATTTGCCTACATTTTATATTTTCATATTTTGTCTAAAGCCTCTAAAACAATTACATACATTTCTAATACGCAGACAAATTCCATGCAGTTTAATCATTTAAAATGTTAGTATATATTGTAGTGACTGATTCCTGTAACTAGCCACTCGGCTGGGTGCGGGAGAAGATCGTGTTCTCGTACTCGCTTCGACATAAAGATTCCAGGCTTTTCGTGTCTTTGGGTGAGGTTCCCATTTAATTAGAGTAAACAATTGACATTACTACTTGATATCACTTAGCTTCCTGGTCTCCCTCTGGTGTGTCTGGTTTTGCGGTAAAAGCCGTGCGATCTCCCCGTCACCCATTCCTCATTACCTGTCAGTTGCACCTGTGCCCCATATATTAATTACCTGCCGCAATACTCCACACTGCCACCCGTGGTCAACCTGAGATAGGCTCCTAATTCAAACATATAATACACAGACATAACTAATGGCTCCTACATATATAGTAGAAGATAAATAACCTGCATTTCTGTTATGTTTCAAATGGCATACAATAAAGTGTGGATTGTTTCTTTATTCATACACTGTGCATCTGAAAAATGAAGTTGTGTTTTCTTTTTTTTAAATACCAAAAGTAAACTGAATTGTGACTTATCTCTTCACTTCTAAGAAATCTATTCTGAGAAAAAGCCTCTCTGCGAAAGAAAGGACATGTTTGTGCCTTGTAAACGTGATTACTCCAGATAATGTGAAAAGGAACCTTTGGCAAAGCAAAGGGCAAATATTGAGTTGGTATATTATGTTCTTTTTCTTTGACTGGGGAGTTTTACACAAGAATGTTCAGGATACACGAGTCTGCCACGTTGTGCGAAAAGAGGTATAAACTGAGAGATAAAAAAGGTCACGGCTGTAGGGAAATGATGGGGGTGGGGTTTTCTTTACCTTTGACAGCAGATGTAGATTTGGGTGGAACATGTCACTTAGTGTAGCAGATAAGCTTGTATATGAGGTATTGTGCATTTTATGAATAAAGCATGAAACTTTTTCCAGTTCTATAAACCATGAAGTTTATTTTCAGACATTTCAGTAGTAGGAGGAGTGCAAAGGAGTGGCCGTTTGCAGCGGTTTGTATTTAACATTTATAAGTTTCAAATATTGAATATAACTAAAATCTTACGGGATTTTATAATCAAGGCCCTTCCGCTTTGAAACTCTTCTCTGAGGGTTTCAGGTTTGGAGAATTAATTAAACTAACTTCTCATCACCTATTTTATTGCAGGGCTTTTACTGAAATTATCTTCTCTATAAATGCATGTTAAAAGGTAAATTCCCACAGAGAACTGCACTACATACACAGTCACATTCACCAGTACAGCAGCAGCTCCACTGGAGAAGTTTACTGTCTTTCTAAAGACACCAAAGAGTCAGAGGACTCTGGTCCTCATAAAGGCCTTTCTGGGTGATGACCTGCAGTTACATAATGTCAAAGTAAGAGCAAGCAGACAACAGCTTAAAAAAAAAGCAAGAGGCAGTGAGGACCTTACCTTGTACATGTCTTCATATTTCAAGAAGAGGACATTAGAGTCGATACGATGTTCCCAAAATTCTTGAACATGTTCAAACCAGGAACCATATCCCACTTTGAGAGAGAGAGACACACACAGAGCAGCTGGATGAACTGATAGTAGCCTGGAGACAGAACAGTAAAGGATACCGACTTAAAACCACATGGGTGGTCACGGTGTCCCAGTCCTCCATTCGCCGGCATACTTACGCTTGTCATTCATGAAGCGCCGGCAGAACTCCTGGAAGGTTCCCCGGTAGCTCATGGTCCTGAGAGAACGGTGGAACTGGTAGTAGGACACCACCAGGTCCTTAGGGTTACGAGCCATGTAGATCACCTGGAGGAGAAACACAGCAAATACGCACTACAGTCAGACAATTGAAGTGCTGCTGTTGGAGTGCAGTCCTGTAGAATAGTAGCTATAGTAGAGACTAGATTACTGAACTAAAGAAGACAATACAAATGTATTAAATGAAACAATCATCAGATTTTTTTGTTTTTGTTTGTATGATGTATCATACAGCCTGCTTTATTTATCTTAAATGAATATACTGTATATATAATTATCTTAATTAATTATTTTTTACAAACAAAATAATAACTTTATAAATATAGTATATACATAGATATAGATATACAATTATCTTAATTATTGTTTAGTTATCCTAATAATAAACAAAGAAATGGACTACATATATATATAAATTAAATAAAAAATACATACAAAATATATAAATAAATATACTATAATATACTAATAAAATATTATATTACATATTTAAAATACATACAAAACATTCATGGGTATTGAACCATATATTACTTTCTAATTTCAATGTCTTGTTTAGTTCTTCTACTTATTCTTTATTCTTTATTGATCCCAATACTTCAGCGTTCTGCCTGAACTAATCTGATGCTATTAAATGTAGTAAGAGTCCAAGCAAGATTTTTTTTCAATACCTGACACCCACCTCAAAACATAGCTAAGAAATCTGAAAACGTCTTAATTAGCATAATGCGACGAAAAGTCGCGGCTACTGTATATGTGCTGTCCCGGCGGGCTGACCTTGGCCTCCCCGTTGTGCATGGCTGTCGGCAGGAATCGATACGGAAGATGGCTTTTGATCAGACGAGGGGACGTCAGCTCCTGTGGAAACAGAAAGGAGTTTTTTTTCTTTAATCTGTCTTCACTTATCAGTCCTGCAGGATGCTCCGGGGCTGCCAGGTGTGTCTTCTCTTACCTACTGAAAAACAGTTACACACTTTACACAAAACCTGTAGCTCTGCTTCTTGGAAAATGCGATAAACGTTTTAGCTCGAGTAATATGCTCAGCCTGGCCATGTGATTCCACATTATAAAAGTATGAGGGGGGTCAATCACAAGTTTCATCATAATTCAATATTAAATTGATTCTTTGGACAGCGATACGATATTCGCTGACACCATAAAGTCTGATATATCGACTCACAAAAAGCAACTAAAATATTATTTGACAGTGTTATTACTGGGCTCTGTAGGAAGGAAGTGCACTTGGACGGAAATCGGTAACACAAACATGTCATTGGAATTTCAAAATAAAGGCGCGTCATGTTTTCACTTTGCATCGGTGATATTGGTTCGTAGATCACTGAATCGATACATTGATCCAGATCGATGGGTTATTAATAAAAGGGTCAATAAATGAACTCTTAAAATCCAAATGGAGATGATGACGTGTTTGAGAAGTTCTTATTGAAGTTTGACAACTTGTAAATGTTTCTCTGCATCTGACTTACTGTATATCTGCATTTGTGTTCCTTGTTTTCTGTTATACAGTAGCATGTGATGTTGCAAGTTCCAGCTAGCCGCAACACTAACACTGTGTTGCTCTGTATGTGGTGTTTATATCACTATGTTATTTGGCCAATTTATTTCCTCTACAACTGTATGAGTATTAAAGGTGCATTTGGTCAGGTAATAAAAAAATGGAACTTAAACCAATGTGGGAATATTGGTCATCACAGCCATTCCTTTGCAAAAAGGTACAAGAATTTAAAGTGTGTATGCACCTGTTTTTATGTACATAAGTTTGCAAAGAAAAACAGGATCCTTTATCTTGCCTACACCTTTCAAATACCACACCGTCAGGCTCTCTGCTGTTCATTTGTAGCTCAAGCAGGGATTTTGTTTGTCACAGTCCCCACTATCAGTCATTTGACCTTAAAGCGTAGAATCGCTGTTGTAAGAAGTGGTAACAGGATTAGTTGGATGTTTACAGGTTTGAAATTCCTTCAAAATATTAAGATTGTAGATAAGGTTAAGAGTTTAAGATCTGATTTACGTAAAGAACTTCCAGATTAACACAAGCTATTCAGAAAACACAGTTCTTGTGATTGCGAGCAAGGCTGTCCTTGTTTTGATTGTGCCCAGTTTCAAATTGAGACCAGCTTCTGCTCATGTTTCACATTGTTGTAATGCTGCGTCACCCAGCAAAAAGGCATTCCTGTAACAACTTTGCCAGATGCCTCACAGACCCAGAAACTCCTCTGCAGTCCTAAAATGATTGAGTGAGCTAAATAACTGAGTGAATGCTAGGTTTCAGCTGCAGTACCTGTATGATGTCCAGGCCAGGTTGGGGGTACTCTAAGACAGGCAGCTGTTCGTCGATGTTCATAAGGCCGATCTCATCTGGGTCTGCCCCCTGACTCACCAGATACACGATCTCCTGAAGTAGACTCGTTCCTAGAGGGAGAGAGGAGAGAGCCGGAGGACAGGAAGAGAATAAGGAAAGCGGTTGTATAACAGGTGAGCTTAAAGCTGCAGTTGGTAAAAATGTACTTTTATTATATTTGCTCAAACTGTCACTTATTGTTGACAGCAGTACATGACACAGATAATCCGTGATCTGCCTCTTTTTAGTGCTCATAATGGCATTTGCCAGATTGATTTGTGCAAGTGGGAATGCTGTGTAGCTAAAACCAAGCTCCGCTAAACAGCTAAACAGTAGCTGATTGGTTGTTTTTCTTGGGGCGCGGTGGAATCTTCCAAACACCATTAGGAGCTCTAAAAGGAGGCAGAGGATTCACAGAGTATTTGTCGTTTGTACGACAGTTTGAGCAAATCTAATAAATCTAAAATCAACTTCAGCTTTAATAAAAATTGGACAGAATAAAAGTCAAACTAACTGTTGTAATGTTAGCTGAAAGAGTGTTTCAACACAACTCTTGGGATCACACATGGGACAAACATGGTCTTTGTATGTGAAAGAGAAAAGTCTGCCAGCGCAAGAGGACGCAGGCTGTTCTCATACTGCGCTGTAATTCGTAGATGTCCCACAAAATCAATTTGTATGTAATCCACGTAATCATAAACCAGGACGTATAGAGACCACAAAACCCCACACAAAGCTGGTGGGAGGGGATGTGGACGGGTCCAACAAAAACAGGTCTTTCACCCAGAATATGGCTGTTCATGCCTCATGTGAAAGGAGAAGTTGATTTATTTGTCACGTAACCAGTACGTCAGTAACGTACTGAAAGCTGGAGGCTGCTATCAGAACACCCATGTGAAACCTGAAGGACACTGAGCAGAGGGATCACGGCTCTGGATTTTATGGTAATAAAGTGTGGTAAATTCAACATTACTAGCTTTTTTTTAATAAGCTATTAACCTGAAATCCTGCCAATGTTCTCTAGAAAAGGGGCATTTGTTCTTAGAAGAAGATGATGTGTGTGTGTGTGTGCGCGGCCTCAGGCTGGCCACATGCTGGCCACATGCTGGCCGTGAAACCAAATGAACCATGCAAGAATAAATAAAGAAAACTTTTATTTGTCATTTGCACCAGTCATGATGTATTTTGCATGAAAGCGTCCAGTTTAATGCGTTTGACACGGGCAAAACAGATTTACTGGAATTCTTGGTAGTGTTTAAAACCCAGTGTTCCTGATTTTAGACAGAGGCAGACAAAAGCAACTTCTCATTTCTAGCCAGTTGCACAATGCTGTCCAGCTGATTTTTTAAACGTTTCCAGCTGATCCATTTTAAAACAAGAACCCATAAAACATTTCACAAATGTTTTATATACTATCGTCCCATAGTAAAACTTTGAATACCATTTCAACCATTTGCTTTGCAAAATGAACTCTGAACAAAAAAAGGGTGGAGGCTGGGGTGGAGGAGGCAAAGCTTTGCCAGCAGTACGGTCTGTAACAGCATTGGTGTAGAAAGAATCAGTGAGGAGGGAGTCATATTTAAATGGTCCTCCTTTAGGTGAGAGTGGACTGTGATTGCTGTGTGACCGATTACAAACAATGATTCAATAGGCTGGCTGTCAGATGGTTACAGTATGACTTCCGTGTCCTGCGTGAACTAACGCAATGCTTCATTTATTGTGTAGATCTATCTGTTGTTGTGACTAATACTGTCTCTGTGAGAGGCAAACTTTGATAAGCGGCTGTGCGCTGCTCTTTATCAGAAGGTGGAAAACCCAAAGAGAAAAAACTTCTCTAATATGACTTCACTCATATAGATAACATGTTCTCTATATGAAGATAATATTTGTAGGGACAATTCTGTCCTCCCAAAGAATTGGTGGGACAATTCTGTCCTCTCAAAACATTGGTAGGGACAATTCTGTCCCCCAAAATATTGGTAGGGACATACAGTAAGTAAAGGTACAGCTTTCTCTCATCATGTTGTTTAAAGGGGTTATTGCAAAAAATGAATGAAGGAATGGTCCAAATTGATGCAGCAGAGACTTTCTGACTTGTAGCCTACAAGGGTCAAGAAAAAAAAAGACTTCTCATAATGCAATTAGTATTAGTTTTCATCAGGGCTGGACTGGAACCAAATATTTGTATCTACAAAATGTGGGCGCTGCAGAATAGTTTTGGGAACCTCTGTATTCTCAACACTGAAGACGACCCTCCGCTCTCTACTCGGGACAACACAACCTCTCAGCTGAGCGTGCTCAGATGGCCAGTCCAGCCCTGGCTTTCATTAGATGCTCCACATGATTCCAACTCCAAGTCCGAGGTTCCCGTTTGTACAAATTCTCGTAGACAAGTCCGAGCTGAGATAACCCTAATGACATCATCAGGGTTACTTTCTCAGACTGCAGAGAGCTCCTCCAGTGCCTCAGAAGACATTACACTGTTAAACTATTTTCACAGGCTGAGTCATTCTCCCCATGAAATGCAAAATCGAGTGCCTCTTTAAATTTGCATCATTTTTATATTGCAAATCTCTGCTTGGCACAGCATGCAGCCAGAGCAGAGAGGACGCTCTCTCCTCTATGTTGGTGCTTCAGTTTCCAACCCTCTGTTATTCATGTGTGACTGTGTGTGCTGCCTGCAGGGAGACATGACTGAGCGTATGGCTGATGTCAAAACAGTCATAAATACACTGCTATCATGAACGGTAGGGCAGCCCGCACTCTCGCCCCCCTTCAGCTTAAAGAATCTCGCAAATCCCATTGGCCGAGAGCGTTGCTTATGAGCCAATGGCCCTCACAGCACTGCAGCATCACAATAATAATAATAATGCATTTTATTTGTAAAGCACTTTTCATTAAAAAAATCTCAGAGTGCCACAGAGCCAGTGCATAGTAAAAAACACAGTTAAAACATAGTTAAAACAAACTATAATAAAATAACTCGTAAGCATAAAAAAAGTGAATGAACAGAAACACAAAAGAAATAACTGACAGTGATTTAGGTCAGAAACGCCTTCCTGTTTTTAGGTCAGTTGTAAAAGAGAGCAGTGTCTGTGTTGCCCTTAGGTGGTCAGGGAGACTGTTCCATAGGCGCGGTGCTGCCGAGCCAAAGGCCCGGTCACCCATGGTGCGGAGCTTGGTGTTGGGGACCTGGAGGAGCAAGCTGTTTGATGATCTGAGGGTGCGGGTGGAGATTTGGGGAGTGATGAGTTCTTGTAGGTAGGGAGGTGCGTGTCCATTTATGCATTTATGTGTGAGTAGTAGGACTTTGTAGTCAATCCGGAATGGGACAGGGAGCCAGTGTAGTGAGTGCAGAATGGGTGTTATGTGCTCATACTTCCGGACTCTCATCAGGATCCTGGCAGCGCTGTTTTGAATGTATTGCAGCATCTGGATGTTCTTGGCAGTGATCCCAGTGAATAGTGAGTTACAGTAGTCCAGTCTTGAGGAGATAAAGGCGTGGACGAGCTTCTCTGCATCTGCAGGGTTAAAGTGGGTCGGAGTTTGGAGATGTTTTTGAGATGATAAAACGAGGTTTTGCACAGGTGTTTTATATGGTCATTAAAGGTCAGATATGAGTCAAACCTAACTCCCAGACTGTGGAGGAGAGGGGGATGACCTGACTGTCGAAGGTGAGATGAGTTATGGAGGATGACTGGTGAAACAACCTTCACTGGTTGTGAGTCATTGTTCTCTGGAAACATCTGAGTTGATCTTTTAAAGGAACAGTGTGTAGCATTTAGCAGGAGCTAGAGGCAGAAATGGAATGTCATATTAATAAGTATATGTTTTCTTTAGTGTGTAATCACTTGAAAACGAGAGTTGTGTTTCCGTTACCCTAGAATGAGCCATTCATATCTACATACGTCCTCTTCACGGGGCTGGCCGCCGTGTTTCTACGGTAGCCCAGAACGGACAAACCAATCACTGGCTCTTGAGAGGGGTCTTTTTGCGTTGTCAAGTCAGCCAACCTTCTCCTACCTGCAGCATACGGGACACGTTTCAGTAGGTTGCAATCTGCAACCTCATCGCTAGATACTACACACTGCACCTTTGAAGGTTCTCAATACAATATTTAGTGTATTAATATAGCAGCAAACGACTATTAGTTATCTAAAGACATAATGGGGTAATGTCTACCTGAGCAGAGAATGAAGTCACTCTCCCTCTGCATATGTTGTTATCCAAGCCTACCACTTTGCGTTGTTGACAGAGCCACGCTGGCTGTGCCATGTTGAGAGCCGCGTGTAGGCAAGAGATTGGAATTAAGCACATTTCAGTAATATGTGAGATTGGGTGTGACTCTTTGGTCATTTCATAATCTGGCTATGATACAGGTCTGTATATGGCAGTGTCGGGCCGTGCATTTTATACCTGGGCCTTCACTGCTGTCCTGCAGCTGAAACACAGACGGTTATTATTTGTTTCGTGTAAAAATGAAGCTCAACACCTATAAATACACTAACTGCAGAGTGCAGATACATGAATACGTCGAGAGTGTGTCTCCTCTCTTCTTTGACTGCAGCTGGGACTGCTGCGCGAGGCTGCTGTGAGAGTGACCGCCTGTGAGTGCTTTGGGGGGGCTCAGGGCAGCACCCGCTGCTCGTTCACGACAGTGCAGAACGGTACGTGCTTTCACGTCAGAGTCAAAACACCAGAAAAGTCTCCAACAACACCGGAAAAAGTCACTAGATTTGTCACTAGTAGCTTTTGACAAAAAAAGTCTCCATGAGGGTTTGGAAAGTCGCCAGATTTAGCAAGAAAGTTGCCAAGTTGGCAACACTGGCACCGACTAAATATGTCCCCAGAGCAACATAGGACATAACAATGGTTCCTATCACATATAAAACCAAACAAAAATCCATCTTCATAAAAACAAGTTGTACAAATAATAATATATAAACAAGCATATTGAAGCTACTGGAGATGTAAAAACAAAAGCAGTTAACTTACCAAAGCGGCTGTTCACTATTTAAAGACAAAGTCCATCCTTCTTTCTTTGATTATAAAGAGTTTAATCTCACGGTTGTTCAGTACATCCGTGCGTTTTAGTTCCAGTAAGAAGTCCTTCTCGATTCATGGACACCAGTGAAGACAGTCGAGCCTCCCCAGTTGTATTTCTTGAATACGTTTTAATGCGTTTGAGGGCTGAAATGTCCGCTCAGAGGCAGCAGATATAGGGATTGTCACCGCCCAACATGTCATGCTAGCCCACTGACAAATCACGTATGGCTAGGCCAGCTAGAAGGCTCTGGCATGTCAAAGAATACGCCCAACATGTCAAACTAAAGATCTGATTGGTTAAAGACTATGACAATCAACAATATCGTCCCCATTCACTTAAAGTGCAAAAGGATTCACTTGTGAGTCTGCAGGCCTCGGGCCTCTGTTCTTACCTCGAGACACAGAGGTGAAATCTGATTGGATAAAAGCTCTACTTAAAACAAGCTGCACTGGAAGCAGAGCAACTGAGGAAGACTGAAGAGTAGCTGTGCAATGAGAAAATAAGATAATGGGAAAAAAAATTATAATACATGTAGTGTATTTATGAAAAATGATTGAATCATAAAATAGCTATAACTTTGTGATTCTGTCTAGGCTAGCAGAGAAGGCCTTGCTGGCCCTGACAACCCACCACTGGTATATGGCCACTTCTATTAAAACCAATGCACTGATCCTTTAGTGCAATACTTGCAAAAGTATAATTTGTGCACCGGCTAGACGGTTACAGGTTTTATTTGATATTATTTAAAGAATTTCACTTTTCTTTCCACAGCATGAGAATTACTAAATTCCAGGAGAGTTTAAATTAGTCCATGTGTACTGTTAGCACAAGGTCTCTCTGGATGGAATCGGAGGATGCAGCACAAATCTATGCTCGCGGGGCCAAACCTAAGCAGGAACAGGAAGCAGCACTGTCCATTACACTCGGGAGAGTTTGGCTCTACTGCTTTCTTTCACAGTATCATGTAACGACATAACTTCAATTATACTCAAACCAAAGGCCTGGAAAAAATGGAGAGAATGGGAGGTATATTGTTGCTGACCAGCACCAGCTGGCGAGTTAGCAATTAGCTCAACAGATGCGCAGATTAATTGCACTATACCACTTTCTGGAGTGACCATGGGAAGCATGCTGGATAAAAGTTAGAGAAGCGTTCTTTTTTGTAAGACTGACAATATATATATATACAGTATATATAAGATATTCAGATGTATTTAAAATTATTAAAATGTGTTTTTAAATGCCATCAATTAAGGTTTCCTGTTGATTGATTTCCCTGTTGATGCATTGATGACTGTCATCTATTCCATTCTGCAGTACAGGTGTTATATGACGCTAAACCAGAATACAATTCCCACGACCAACAATCAATGCACTGACCGCGTGCTCCAGCTGCCGACCAGCCGTCACATGACCCGGGACCCACCCCAGCGCACAGCTCGGCATCACCGCGCACGGTACACCGGCCTGCAGCAGCGCTGCGCCACGACACACCGAAGCTGGATGTAAACACCAACTTCCATCCATGTCCTATGGCGCGTATGATTATGGTGGCTGATGAAGGCCAGCTAGAGCTAACTGATGCACTGAACGCAGCAGGAGCGTAATATAAACAGAGAAATGAAATGTCCCTCCCAGTGCTGTTCATGAAACACGGGCCTGACTTGCAACTTTAACGAACCCTATGACTGATTGTAAATGTGCTATTATTTATATTTATATGCAACTTTGATAATCACAAGGGCAGCCTGCAGTCACCGCATGCAGCACAGGGCACCCTAGAATCGTTAAGGTGCACGGGGAGAGCTCCGTGGTGACGCAGAGGCTTGTTTACCTGACTTCGGGTAGGTGACGATCCATATGTCGCTACTTCTGAGGGAGAAGTTAGCGATCTCCTCCATCTTCCCCCTGCAGAAGGGCGGCAGCCGCACTCCATCATACTCGAAGTATTTGCTCTCAAACTCGATCGGCGTGCTCGGCGTGTCTGCCTCGCTCTCGGCCATCCTCGGAGACGGGCCGCCAGTGCAGGGACGAGAAGAAGCGCACACCACCAATCGAACGCAAACCGGTCAGTCGATAGCGACGACGAGGCGGATTTTTGAAACGCCGCTGCTGCGGATGCTGCGCGGCGGGCGGACGAGTGGACCCGCGGCCAATCACGCTGGAGAGAAGTGATGTAATGCGCGCGCGCACGAGTCGCAGCATCAGGACCACTCTCGCCAAGCCCGCGAGGATGCGCGCGCGCAACCACAGAGGAAGGATGCTTCCCAGTGCGTTATGCAGATTTGCACGCTGCAGAAACAAACATATGACCATATAGGCTACCATATTACTACATAAATCATGTAGGCATATCATATTCTGTAGCCGTTATCATTGGGTCTTATACGCTTTTTTGTGAGTGTGTTAATTGTGTGTCGTTTTTGTAATAAAAAAAAATCAACAACATAATACTTTCATAATATATAATCAACGAGTAGCAAGCGGTTTTCAGTGAGGACAAGTACAAACTTGCCAAATTCACCAAACCCAAATGTATAACTTGCTCTTTCTTCTGGAAGGCTCTGTTCTCTTTTAAAAACACGCAGCCTTTTTAGAAGATGAGAAGAATATGGATATTTGTTTTGGTGACTTCACTTCAGACCTGAATGGACTAAATTTAAAGCTGCGGGGCAACAACAATTCAGTTCAATTCATTTTTTCTAATTAAGTACTTCATTTTAATATGCACATCATTCAAAAGCTTTCTGTTTCTATGTATTTCATTTTTAAATCCAGCCCTTATTTTACTTAAATGAGAAAATAACAGTTAGTGTTATCAGAGCATGTATTATTTATTATTCATCCAGTTAGATATGAAAACCTACAGTACATATCGTTGAGATATTATGTAATTGAACTTTCTTTATTTCATTTGACAGTCGTTGATGACTATACATTGAGATGTTGATACAACTACTAGGCTACTATTATATACATGACACTAAATCAGAGTTAGACGTCACGGCAAATAACTCAGCAAAGCAAACAGAAGTGGGGGGAGGGGTTTGTGTGTGTTTTCTTAGTTTTCTAAGGGGGGGGGGGGGGGGGTTAAGGGGGCTTTGACGTCACTGCGTTCTGCCCATCCCGCTTGCCGTCGATTGGCTCTTGTGTAGAAAAGGGAATTGATAAACGTACATTAATCCAATCATGCTCTCAGAAAAACATGTTGCCTTTGTATACCCTCGTAAATCTTAGAGATCAAAAATAATAATAAACCATATACACGCACATTCAGAGACTTCAAGTTCTGATTCATGCCACTCATGATTAATTAGAGTAGGTCTCCAAATACAACCATCAAGCTCGCGACAATAAACCACACCTTTGTGACCTGAAAACATCGACACTAGACACAGAAAAATACAAGAGTTAATCTTATTAGCTTATCACTACACTACAAGCACGTGCATGTCAACAGTTAAATTTAGCTTTTCATATCATATAAAATGTCCCTTTCGTGAAAATATGTATAAATATCCCTATAGAGGCACTACCGGAGCAGTCATGTCGGCGATCTGATAGTTCTGACAGCACCTGAAGGCATCACCAGATATGCGTCCTCCCACCTCTTTCCTCTAAAAGAGCCGGTTATTGACCTGTGGAGTTATACAATCTGCTTCTCTCCGTCGAGCGGACGTGTTGGCCGTTGCTACCCTTCTAGCCGCAGCGCTCTCGGTGATCTATCTGCTCTCGGGGCTCCTCAAACGGGGCATGCCCTGCCATGGTCGACCTGAACGGAGGCTGGAACCTGTCTTTCGCCGGGTGCGGCTTTCTGGGAATTTACCACATCGGAGTTGCCAGCTGCCTGCTGGAGAAAGCGCCCTACCTCCTCACAGGGGCCACCAAGTTGTACGGGGCCTCCGCCGGCGCTCTGACCGCTTCGGTGCTCGCCAGCCAGGCATGCATAAGTAAGACAAACCGCTGTGGCTCAGTAGCCTGGAGCTTTATGCACATTATTATTGTTATTAATATTATTATTATTATTATAGCTTTTAGTAATTGCTGCAGAAATTGCAGTGTATGTTGTATTGTTGTAGTTTTATATATTGAACTACAGTCATTTCAATGCGAATTGTAATGTATTTGTTCATACATAAATCTGTTTTTGAAATATGGTTTTAACATCTTTCAGGTTTTCTTGACATATCTGACCCAAAAGTGTATGTTTTTTTTAACATACACTTTTCTTTTAAATACCAAAATAAATGATAAATGTACTTTCAGATATTTGTCATGAAACGCAGGAGACAAAACATACTTCCTCTAAATGTCATTAACATGAGATCTATCTATCTATCTATCTATCTCTGGATCATAGGAGAGCCCTGTTCTTGCTGTGGACAGTGTGAGTCAGAAGGGCCCTTTCGCTTTCTCTCCCATGAATCACAAGGGCTGATAACAGCAGACACGTTGACCTCGGCATGGGCTCAATCCTCGGAAGAGGGCTCGCCCCGGGTCACTGTTGGTCACTGACCCCAGGAAGCTTTAGTGGATTTCAATCCAGTCGTGTGTTTTTGTTTGCACTCTATTGATTCAGAGCAGGGGTTTAGCTTCAAAAGTCCCATCTCCTGAGCCTTTTTTTCTTTTCTCTGTTTCCAGCCAAATGTTGTGAAGATGTGCTCGAGGTGGCGAAGGAGGCCAGGAAGAGGAACCTGGGGCCCCTTCACCCCACCTTCAACCTGGTCAAGGTGATACGGTCCGGCCTGGACCGGGACCTGCCCTCCGACGCGCACGTCCGGGCCTCGGGGCGGCTGTGCGTTTCGCTCACCAGAGTGTCCGACGGGGAGAATGTGCTGGTGTCGGAGTTTGGCTCCAAAGAGGAACTCATCCAGGTGCGGAGAGTTAGTGATGTCGTTTTTTTATATGGATTTCCTCTAGTTTAACACTTGCTCTCTGTACACAGGCGCTGATCTGCAGCTGCTTCATTCCGGTCTACTGTGGGCTGATCCCTCCATCCTTCAGAGGAGTGGTAGGTCAATTGCTACTCATCAAGGTTTAGCTTTGGTTCGCACAATTATTTGTACAAAATCATATTTCACTTTATTTTATTCTTGTCCTAGAACTCAACGTTGCTTCATTA